ACTGCCATCAGGTGCTGGCTCTAAGTGTCGGCGAAATGTCGAAAACCCTCGCAGTTGGCCAAATATTGCTCTTTGCATTACAACACTAAGGACACAAATTATCTAATGATTTAAAAATAAAGTGAAGGGATTGTTTCGAAAACTCGATTTGAAGATTTGAGTCATCTGCTTGATGACTGTTGTACTGTTTGCGTTTTAAATTATTTTTTAATTTATAACAAATACGTAATTTGTTAAATTATGAATATAAAAAAAATATATTTACATAGGTTAAATGTTTTATCGTTCGTTAGTTGAATTACCAGTTACATTAAATAAATATATGATATAAATCTATTATGATCATTTTAGTCCCCGAAGCACTCCCCGAAAACAAATAAAATATTCACTCATTCATTTATTCGTGCATTGAAATTATTAATTTTAAGGATGAGCAAGATTTCATGAATTCAGGAAGTACTACAAATACAATGAAAATGCTCTTGGACTGATCACAATCTGAATTAAATTTAAAAAATAATTAATTCCCATATCTTGTATCTAAATATATTTAATAATATTTATAACATAACTGATACTTTTCTGTTTCAATGTTTAAGTAAAATCCATCCGATTCATTAATTAATGAAAATTGGTTTTCTCATTTTTTTTTCAATGGATACCTATTTAGCATTTTTTTTTCTTATTATGTCAGCTTAGTATCCATATAATTTTATTTAATAATGCTTCCACATTCAATAAGATATGGTTCCAGGGTATGGACGAAGAGATGTAGAGAAAAAGACATAAAAGACCAATTAAGTGGTTAGCACTTTTAGGAGCGATAAGCGACTATATGTTGAAATAAAACCGTTAAAAAACCAAATCCATTTTTCTTATCCTAAAGCATGTGTGAACTTTTTAATTTTAATTAATAATGATTTATGGAGGTAAATAGTTAAAATAAAACAGAATACACGCACATGATTCGGCAGTGAAATAGGATGAATGAATGAAAATATTTTTATTATCCTAGGACTGTCGTCCCTCCAGAACAAAGTATAAATACTGAGAAAATGCCTGCGTGACCATACATTAATTTAAATATTTACAAAATAATATCTGATTAAAAATAAAAAGAAAAAAAGAACAAAACAAATACATCATAAAAGGATGATACGAAATAAAATTATTTGTTAAGAGATTGATTTTTCACGAATAAATATAAAACACAATAATAAATATTTTGAGTATAATTTGCAAGAAAAAATCCAAAATCTTGGTTTGTCTTGAAGCAGATTGTTAGCAAAGGTGATCGGAAAAATAATTTTCCTACCATTTGAAGATGTTGATTCCTTGGTAAAAATATTCTTTCCTTTTCTTTATAATGGGGAAAGAAAATCAGAGTCAAGCAATAAGTTCACTATAGGAAAACTAAGAGGCCTCATCAAAATTTCGGAAGTGAAGATGTCCCCATATTGGCGAGAATGCTTCCATCTTGTCCCGAATTGATTGTTTGAGGGTGAGAGTAGTTCAAAGTGGGTCGGTTGCAAACGCTTTTATTTCAGCATAAAAAGTCACAAAAAAAGAAAAGCTGCGAATCATCAAATAGGGAGTTAAAGAACTTATCTACATAACCACACTGTTTACGAAACATTAAGAAGGTATCAAACCTTTCACTTAAGTACCTCCTGATTTCTGGTTTCGGGATATTAATAAACATTTTTTTTCCCCCAAATCTTTTTTCCATGCTTTCACTCAACCATGTATCTTGGACCGCGTATATCACTTGAAATCCTATTTCGTATCCATGTTGGGGAGTCATCCCCGGATTAGCATACGGACAGACCCGTCATTATCAGGACCAGGGGGCCAATCTTCCCCCTCAAATTAACCATGAGAAGGGGCCTTCAATACAAATTTGCCCGCGGACGGTCATTAGGAATTTTCAACACTTAAGCCCAATTACGTATAATTACTGACCCACATAGATTGCAGGGATTAACTCGTAAAAATTTGAAAACAATTTTTCTCGTAATCAGAGTTACCAACTAAAAACTATTATCGATAGCTAAATGGATTTTTTAATTTTCAAATTCATACAAATGAGCCGAAAGTGTGAAGGTCGTGACGAGAGCGGTTATGGGGTGTGTGGTTGAGTGATAACGATACGATATAAATGGGGTCTTGAACCCCATTCCCTCCCCCCTAATTGAGTATTAGTTTACTATTATTGGGATCAGGGCTAAGGATTAACAACACTTTTCTTGACTGCTTTAGAAATAATAATACTCTCTTGATAGCATAGCTAGTATAGAAAAAGCAGGAGGGAATGCAATTATGTTTCATATTATAATAACTACATGAGGAAAAGGATAGAAGGATTTTAATTGTGAAACCTTACTCTTATTTTGTCTGCTTAATATTAACTTGGAACTGCTTAGAGAAACTGGTAAATCAATATCTCATAATATGAAGACGAGGAGGTTAAAATAGGCTGGGCATGTGACTCGGACCAATCCATCACAAATCCTCCACACAACAATGAATGCCTGAATAAAGACCACACTAGTGAACAAAAACCAGATGGATAGATAGAAGATAGAATAGAGCTGCATCCAGATAACTGGAAAGAAATAGTTCAATACATGAAGAGATAAAAATGAGACAAAAGATCTATAAGGTGTGTAATGCTAACAGACAAAAAAAAATCTGCTTGATATTAAACAACAATAAAATTTAAAGTGAACATAGATATAAAAAGCTTATCAATATAATATGTGGATTTAATATTTAAAAAATGGAAAATGCAGTAGAATACCCAGAAATATAAAAGAAATGGGATATATAATAGACAAGGTATTATTTATAATTAATAAAATTAAAAAATGGGAGATAAATGTATGAAAGTCAGATAGTTTCTACGCAAAAAATATTATTTTTAAATATGTTATAAACTATTAGATATCGAAATTAAAATTAAATTGATTTTATAAAAAAAAAAATTAAAATATTACTGGATCTAAATTTTACCTGCAATGTAGATATGTAAATCACTAAAATAAACATTTATCATTGTCGTATTACAAGTAACTGTTAAATAAATACCTAATGCACAGAATAGGCATAGCTTAAAATCTCATTCCTATGCTATACTTTGATACTACCTTAGTAAACGCATTATATGTTCTATTTGTGTGGATGTGTGTCCATATTTTTTTCTAAATTTATTTATTTATTTGTTCATATGCTCTCTTAAATTATTCTTGTCTTCTGGTAAATCTTAAACATTTTATTAAACTGTTTTGGTCAAATTTTATTAAAGATTATTTTAGTTGTGTATATTTTTGCGAGTTTCGAATAAATCCGATATTAATCAGTGATGGAGACCACCCCTGACTTTAAAGTAATAGTTTAATTTAGAACCATCTGTATAAATGTACACACTATCACTGTATCTATCTTTTAATTTTTTTTATTTGATATTCCGTTTTTTAACTTTTTTTATTTCATTGAAAAAAAAAAATACGTTTTGCCTAAAACTCAAGGGCATTGAGTATTTGAGATGTGAGAAACTCATTCATACAATTACAAAAATAGTAGAAATTATAAGAGAAAAAAAAAAAGATATTCCGTTAGATGTGCAAATATTGTTGTACTATTTCTCTAGTATTTGTTGAGAGTTAAATCAAGTCAAGGTAGTTTATTTATTGTCCATGGTGGATAATTAAATTCGTCGGTTATTTTTTGGAGATAGCGGATCTCTTCGATTTATCTTCTTTATTATTCTTATTCTTATTATATTTTCTATGAAATGGAATATCCATTGTGACGGACTGGGTCAGAAGGAGCGAGAAGGGAGATGTTGAGATGTGATTATTATGAGGAGATTGCCTTTGAAACAAGCGGATCAAATACGGTGTGGAAATCTTGAGAGCAAAAACCAGCTGTGTTACCGGCCTCTTTCCCAACCGTCCAGAAAATCCTCACATTTTCCTCAAGGTGTCACATCTACAAGGAAATTATCAAATTTTCTTATATTTTAAAAAATTAAAATACAACTTTTTAAATTAAAAGTTATTATTTTTTAATTTAAATTTAATCTAGTTACTTTATTTTATTGCTAAACAGTAGTAAAATTATTAAATGTTCTTTATATTGTTTTTGTCCATATTCCTAAAATAAAAAATACCTGTAAGTAAAAACATTCTGATGTTTTTTACATTGATAATAAAATATTGAAAATTTTTAATATTTCTATAAAGGACCCACATTAAAATTTGAACTGTTGTTATCAATTATTTGCACCACTTCTTACAAAAAAAATATTTTTTTATATTAATCAATTTATATAAGAAGCTTTGGTTGCTATAATTATTTATTAGTTACTAAGCAACTTAGTTAATAATGAAACTGAATTAATTAAAAATGCTATTCTGAATTAATTTGTTCCAGAGAGAATTTCTAATCTGAAAAAAAAATAATATTGTGCTGGTAATTAAATGATTAAAGGTTCTTATAATTAAATTTACTTTCTTACAAGCTTATTAATTACGTTGTTAATAAAGTCAAGAAGCAACTAACACATAAAAAGTAAATTAGATACCAGTAATTTATATTTAAAATAAATATTTACTTAGAAGTATATGGCAAACAATTTTTTTTTTTTTCATATATCTCAAAAAATTCAGTATTATGAATATGCTTTATTTTTTTTTTTAATTTTTAATAAAGTTTTCGGAAAGTTAAGTAGATATTTTCATACCTTGTATTATGTGATTAAAAAATATTTTCAAAGTCAATGTTTGAAGGAAAAAGAGGAGGGATATTTAAATACAATATTTTAGGAAAAACTTTTCGAAAAGATTAATTTTAGCATCCATCCCTCCTTCCCCAACATGCTTGGCCATCACACCCTCTAAGTTATAAAATACAATAAAAACTCAGCTTAATTATGTTATATGAAAAGTTAATATTTTATTTAATTGTAAATAATAACCTATCCTGAATCAGTAGCTTAATTAGACTTCAAAGATACCTTGGCTGAACTTGAGGAGTTCATGATCCAAGGAACTGATTTCTTCTAGAGTTGGCCGGGACATGGCGTTGTGCAAAGCGATCACCCAATTCCCCGCAGCGTATCCAATCAATTGAGGGATTTCGCCAACAGTAAACAGCCCACTTAAGCCAGCATATCGCGGCACCCAGCGTCGATATCCAGCGATCGGCGAAGCACCTCCTAGGTGAAGGCGAAGCACGGGTGCACCCAGCCCTAAATGTGTGACCCCAGGCCAACAGCTATCTGCGCCCAACCATCGCCCCACAACTATCACGAACGTCGTAACTCACGAAATCACGTCCGACTTTCTCTTGAACGGGCCATCCGCTTCGGGCGTCTTCCGTCCCGTGGTAGCCGAAGGCATCTGTCGTCTTTTTGCTAGATGAAGGGGGATTAAGATTGGTCACTTCGGTCAAAACAAGGATAAGTGTTTTGAGAAACACTCAAATATATACATATATATATATATATATATATATATATATATATATATATATATATATATATATATATATATGGTGAGTATTAGTTGCAGCGTTAATTTTTTTTAGCATTATTTATTCACTGACTAAGAGAAAGGTACAGTTTTTATTTGTAAATTTATTAACTTAAAATTAATATTAATGGCCAGATATTTAGGTTTATATCCTTCGTTATCAAATCTAAACCTCTAAGTAAATACGGCAGTTTCATAACAAAAATAATAATGAAAAAATGTTCATAGCTCCATAGCTTCACGTTAGACTAAAAATGTTAATTGGATTATTTATTATAAATGGAATTAGACATCGAATTAGTATGACAGCTACTCATCGTTTAGAAAATAATGTAAAAATAAGTATGAATTTTATTTAGTAAATATTGCTATTCATCACTTAACGATTTATACTTCGTTATTGTATGGCAATGAAATGCATGTAGATAATTACTATCTCATGATTTTATTAACAACTAAAAAAATGTTAATTGAAATATTTATTATTAAATGGAGTTAGACATCCAATTAGTATGAAAGTTACTCATCGTTTTGAAAATAAGATTAAAGTAATTATGAATTTTATTTAATAAAATGTTGCTATTCATCACTTAACGATTTATGCTTCATTATAGTACGAAAATGAAATACCTGTAGATAATTAATATCTCATGATTTGTATTAATATATTGCATATTTATATATTTGAAAATGGAAACGTTTGTATTGGTGACAGTAACTTCAATACCATCAAAACAGCTCATAAGAACCATTGACCAATCCTCCATTGAAAAACGGGAAATTACATTTTATTTTCTTATTTTATAGTTTTATGAGGTCATGTTTGTCGTTGAATAGCAAAAGATTATTTTAGGCTATTTGAATATCGTATTTTTTTATTTATTAATTAAAATTAAAATTTGACAAAATTTTGATCTAAAGAAAACATTCTTTGTCTCTTTTAAGATATTTTTAATAGGAATAAAAGTAAAATCTTGAATGATTCAGATAAAAAAAAAAGAAAGAAATAATTTATCATTTTTGTATGAACAGAACTTAAACCTCTGTCTTGGTTTACCAAAGACAAATTTTACATTAATTTGAAAGCATTTTTTTTTACAAAGTAGTTTTTTAATTTTCGCTTCATATTCAACAAATAATATGCCTTACTCAAAAGACAGACAATTGTTAAATCTTTTTTAATTCTCTCTGGGGACTCATCGGAATAAGATCATATGATTTTTTTTATTGTCGTTGATCTTGTAATTTCGTGTTCTTATTTTGAGGTGTATACAAACAGTATACTGACTACTAAATTATCAATAGATATTATAAACTTTTTTAATAATTTATTTAGTTGAAATTTGCTATTTTCAATCAACTCCGGAGGGTATATTTCTCAAGATTAATCATGATCATTAAAATTTTCATTTTATTTTAAATTATAATATTTATTAAATATTAAAAATTATATGGCGAGTTAGGAAAGATGGAGATTTAGAAAACAATGCGCAAGGCAGGGGAGGAGTTGCACAAAGGTGTTTCAGTTAGGTATCTCATTACCCGAGCTGAAGCAACCCGGGGCAATAATGGAATAGTTCAGATATAATCGCCCCGAAGGTCGGAAAACTCGACAGAAATGAACGGATATTTTATGCTTAATAAATGCCCTAGTTTGGACCGTGCCAAATCACAATTTCCCCGCCCTACCTCAATTCGAATTCATAAGAAAGCGAATCGAAATTTTTCCTTTTTTTTATCATTTTTTTTATTTTATTCCTTTTCATTTATTTTACTAAAGGCAGAGCCGTGGCATATGGAATAAGAGACAAGACAGGCGTGGGCGACCCGATGCGTGCAATAGATCTCGTTATGTCAGTGATATATATTGCTCCTGCCTCCCCTGACGTATGGCCATCCTTTGCGATATAAGTCTCATTGCAACGCAATTCCGAAGGATTATTTACAAAATGTACTGCGGTAGGTAACGAGTTTTCTGTTGTTAAATTGCAAACATAAGAATTATATTAATTTAATAAGAATCATTAATTTAAAGAATAGTTTTCTAAATATCTGCCATACCTGTAGAAAAGGTCCAATTACATGAGTTCCCATTACGTTTTAAAATCACACGAAAACCTCACTCAAGATTCCTTTCGATTTATAACTCATCAATTCTTATTCTTGAACCTTACTCATCACCCAAACTCCGTAGTACAATCCCTATCAAGCACCACTAATCCCTCTCGTAGGTTAAAGCGGCAGTAGCCCCGAGATCTTTTGTAAATATGGAGGAGTTCTAACAATGGCCAGATTCTCCACTCAAGTCATCAGTGTCTGCGCCTGTAGCGCTCTTACTCTTCCTCCGCTGGTTTTAAATATCAGTGAAGTGGTTGATGTAGAAGCACTGGGATCTCCTAAGCCTCGCTATTCCCTCCATAAGTGGGGAGACAAAATTGTTTCGGAGTTTCCCTGGCTGATTGTAAATAGTGTATATAGGTATGATTGTATCTAAGATGTTCATTTTACTTTAATTTTTTACTTACTTATGCATATAATTTTTTTTTTTCACTCTCCTTATAATATTTTATTTTGTTCTTATTTCAATGTATTCTTTTCTTATTACTTTATTTATGCATGTTTCTGTATATACGGTGTGAATGAACTCTCTGAAATGCCCTTTACTGAGACAGGTTGTAATATTTCTCAATAAAAATAACAAAAAAAAAAACTTTTCAATTCAATTTTCTAAAAATCCTAAAATAGTTGATTTTTAGAGCTTTAAGATTTCTGAATCTGAAAAATATATTTTAAATATTCTTTCGTTTTGGACGCCACTTGTTCTCATTTAATTATATATATATTTTTTAAATAAGTTCTTATTAAAACATAGTTAATTTAAATGGAGAAAACACCTATTAAAGTATTAAAAAACAAAGCTTCGCATTTGGTGCTAGAAATTTTAAATGATCTAGTCCTTAAGTTCTTTAAAATTTAAGGGACGTTAGCGATTATACTAAATTCGATATTTGGACTAATAGTTTAATTTTTGAATTATTATAAACTGATATACCTTTTATCCTGCATTCTTCACAAAAAAATCTGGAAAAGCCTTTATATCGAGTTGAAATATTTTTTTTCTATAATTTTAAAGATTTTATAGAAAAAATCAAATAAATTTATCTTCTTATTTTTTTTTCTCAAAAACACCGACTAGTGGCCTAATTATATTTAGAGTTATCAAAAAAAATATTTTCGATTTTTTTCACATTTCAATAATTTGAATCTTAACCTGTAATAAATAGACGGGAAATAATTTGAATTATTGTATAGTAATTTATTTATTTAGCGATTAAAATAAATATTGATAATGATTATCTATAAAAAAAAGAAAATAAATAAAAATTATTCATTCAAAAGAAGAGTTGAACGCATTTACAATGTAAACCATAATACAACAGTAACAACTGTTCTAAATTAACATAAAATAATTATCTTTGGACACCTATACTTAATTGAAAAAATAATTTATTGAATCAAATACCATAAATTAATTAATCACTTAAAACTTCCTTTTGATTAAAATTAAAAATTAATTAGTAATTCTTTATTTAAATAAATTTTTAAAAATATCTCAGTTCATTGAAAAAATAATAAATAAGATCATCAATGCAAGCAATTTTCGGATGAAAGAACAAATAATAGGGATCCCAGTTGGTATAGAAGTTGCGGAGGAAAATCCTAGATACCGCCACAGTTCAGTAGCTGACGAGGGGATAGTCAACTAGTAAAATTATAGTCGATATCATTTGTCTTTTTTTTTTTTTTTTTTCAAAACGGTCTAATTTCATCACGAAATCTTTCCAAAAATATTATAAAGATATAATAGTAAATCTAAAATATAACCCAACATGTAAAAAAAATGAAATAATAATTATACTGAATCTAATCAAATTATTCGATTAAAACGATAGAAAAAAAATGTGATGAGAAGTTTTCATTAATGAATTATTATAATAGATACACTTTAATGGATTTAACTCCAAAAATGTTCAAAATAATATCTTTTTTTTTTTTTAAGAAAAATATTCATTGACTGTATGAATTTGTTTTAGGCACTAATTTTGATAAAAACATTAAGGTAAGACATCAACTTTAAAAATCTACCAACTTTTAATTAAGAAATACAATAAAAGTTTCAACGCATGAATAATATTTAAAAAAAAAATTAAATATTACTGTTTTTTTAGGTTTGACCTCTGGGCAGGATATAATAACAAATATTAATATAATAAATATAATTTATAATAAATGTAATAATTTAAAATAATATAATAAATTTATAAGCATCATTTTTTATACCCAGTTAAAATTTTAGAAGCTCATCCGCTTTCATTCAACGATTTCTAATATGCTTTATATTAAAAGGAAACTGTATTTATATCTATAATAGTTTTATATGAAATCAGGAAATTTTATTTTTCAATTATTTTTTTTTTATAATTAAATTGTTTGTACAGAATACTTCTTTTTATTATTCATGTACGAACATTTTAATACTTAACCATAAATTGAAAATTATTTATACATAATATATAAATAGTAGAAGCCTATAAGGATGATCGAATCAGTAGAAAATGTTAAAAGAAGAAACATAATTATAATTTCTATATGATCCTTAATACGAAAAGTGTGACTTAATTATATATATTGCTTGGACCATTTCATGAATTTTCATGGGGAATATTACAGGAAATTGTATAAAATATATATTCTAAATATTAAGAATAATTATTATAAGTAAGTTGTTGATAAGAAAATTCAAATGGAAGTGCAGAGAGGTAGGCTATTAACACACCCTCCCACCAGCTGGCAGGCCATTTAGCCGTTAGGGAATTTTTATAGGCATTTTGGTGAAGCATCAATCATTTGAAAGATAAACTAAGGGATGAGAGATAGTAGAAGAAACCTCATGAGTAATGACAACTCTTCCACGGCTGACATAATTGTTATACAAATGAATGATGGTTTCAATTGATATTAGTTAAACGTCCCGGCTCTGCTGGTTATCGCCTGCGGAGAAAAGTAACTCCTACTGCTTCAAGTTCCAAATAACTAGTTCCTCTGTCACCGTGACCACGACGTGAAAAACTGTTTTTATTCTTCTTCGGCATGAATAAGTCTACTAGTTGACATTCCAGAAAGGAAAATGTAGTCATTATAATGAGAATCAATCGTTTTCCAAATTGCTAATAATTTTCCAATACTCAATTATTATCATCATTTAAAGCCACATTTACATGGGGCGTTTGAAGTCAGTGGGTCAACGGTTTCGAAAAAAAAATTTCAGTGATAATGTAAAGAAAAATTCCTAGTCCTAGGAGCAGGGAAAAAAAATATTACTTAGATTTTTGAAATTATTAGATACCGATCGATTTATTTTTTTAAGCAGAATATGAGAAAAATGTCGACTATTGTATTGAATGATTTATAATCTATCATGCATTTAACAAACCAAATGGCGCTTCTTGTAGAGTAGGTCAAGTAAGATTCGTTTTTAGTGCCGTATTATACTAACTAGCTCTGAAATACGATTTTTTATAGAAATTCAAAAATTAAAATTTCTTGATTTTCTTGGACGATTTTTTTTTTCGGCAGTCAACTAAAGCATTCGTAACTTCTCAGGAATTTCTTCAAATTTTAAGTTAATACAACCATTGGATAGATGGATTATCACCGCTCTTCCAATCCACAAAAACTTCTCCCACATTTTTATTATAAATCGTTAGTTCTAATTTGTTTACGGATGATGGATTTGTACCATTTCTTGTAGAGCCCTGAATCTCTAGTAATTTCTAAAATAATTTTAATAATAATAACAGAATCGGTGTAGTCGTTCTGAAAAAATTTTTTTGTGGTTGTCTACAAAGTTTCGAAAGGTCCCACGGGGCATAAATATGTAGCTAAAATTTTTAATTTTTCTATTTCTTTAAAAATTCGTATTTTATTGCTTTTCGAGGTGACAAGAGTGATATCAACTTTGTTTCATCCTAAAAAAATATTCACTCCCACATCACATTTAGTCCAATTCGTTCCCATACTATTATCACCTGTCAAATATAATATTTTTTCTAAGCCGGCCCGCTATCTATGGTACAGATTTTTTGAGCGATAACTAATTTACTATAACTTTCAAATTAATAATTTTTTTATATAATTAAATGAAGGAGGTGCGGCGGGGAGACTAGATAGGTCGGTGAAATACCGCAAATATTATCGGTTGGAGGCAGAGCTTGACGCTCCGAATGTTTCCTTAACAGAGCGGAATCCAATGGATGGTTGCTCTCAAGGAAGCCTTAGCTAAATTGCCACTTCAGTCCATCAGTTCCGATGATGGTCGTATCCTGGTGTATCGTCGTATCCTCCAACGGTGAACATAAATAATGGATAAAGTCTTGAATCTGAATATGTTAAAAATGGCTTATTGCTGTATTTAATAAAATTAATTAGCTTCTAATACCATAGATACGGTTCAGGAAGAAGTGCTGGTTTCGCCTCTACCGGTATGAGAACAATTCTAGTTCTGAGTTTACCTAACTAAATAAGTATGTAAAATGACTATCTCAAGTTTTTTTTTCTGAATAATTGGTTTAGAGTAAGTTCAGGAATGATTTCATATTATTTGCTATTTGAAGGAATATATTCTAAAGGAAAAAGCTAATCACTCACTAAGTACATTGTTGCTCTCATAGGCGCAGAATTCGAGTGGGGGGGGCGAGAGACGTGGGGCCAAACGCCCTCCCCAATACAAATGTCGAAGGAGCGATATTATCGTTTGCCTCCCAATAATTTGAGGTAAATAAAATTAAAATTAATAATAAATAAGCTACAACGATGAATATAATGTAGAAATTAAAATATATTAAGAAAAGTCGACTAGCTAGCTAGGCAAGAGCTTAGTAGTAGATACGTAACTATTTTATTGATACCTAAATATAACTTTTATTTAAATTATCATTTATATTCAAAGATAATAATACATATCACCATAGCCTAGGATTTTATGATTCAATCACCCCTTGATTTTCACGTGATATCATTATTAAATTTTCCGCGACAAACTAGTCGGGCTGTGCAAAGCATATTTTTATTTTAGATTGAACACACTAAGAAATCAAAGATATTTTTTAATTTTTTACATTATTTATTTTCAGCTGAAAAGTTAAGAGGGGGGTCCCCTCCCCCACCTATGTTTAATCTGAACAAATACCTTATATATTAATTTTTTTTTTAGATATTTTCAAGTATAATATTTATAAGTATAATTTCCTGTATAATAAGTAAACAAAAAAATAAAAATCCATACAAATATAAAAATAAATAAACTAATTCATTTTAAATATTCAATATTATATTTATTTGTTTCAAAAGAATTATGTTTAATTTGTATACATAATAAAAACTCCAACCAATTTTTTTTTTTTCATCATTTCCCCAACCAAAATGGAAAGTCTGTGCAAACGACGGTATGGATTAATACTTTTCATAATATACTCTTTAAAAGGAGGAATTTAATAACTCAATAAAAATATATTCCATATAAATAAATTAAATTCACTACAGCGGAATATTCACTTGTGGTTTTAATAAATGTTTGATTTTCTATTTATTGCAATTCATCACAGTACCATTTTCTGTGATGTATAAAATTTCGAAAATTCAAAATTAATTAAAACAAATAAACAACAGAGCCAAATGACCTAAAAGTTCTCTGGGATAATAATGTTTAAGTTATATTTGTTTAGCATTTGCTGATAACGAGATATATTGACTGTCGAGTAGATAAATTAGCATTGTACCATATGTATATGAAAAATTCTCTGAATTATTTTTCATTAGTTCGAACTTTGTGGATGTGTTAAACCTTTGTATAATCCTTCAACTTTTGCCTCGTAGGTAATGTTGGTAAACAGTAAATGGAATGGTAAAGATGATTATGGTAATTTAGGCATCGGAAACGATAAATAATCAGCAGAATTTCTCTATGGTTTCAATTTATATTGTTAATAAATTAAGGTTTTTCATCCATGTTAATTTTTAGCAGACTTCTGAAGGGCATGTCAGTCGTGGTCATATCGTTTACAAATATGTTATGCCAAGTTGTTAATTATAAAAATGTCGGTATGTCAAGATTTTTATTTAGTACTACGAGGTCTTAAAATTTTGGAAGCTTTGAGTTTTGTAAGATCTGCAAGGATTATGTCCGTGTTGTTTTAAGCTGTCACGTATATGAAACATAGATGGTATAATAAAATACTTGGTACTCAGTAGTCAGAGTAGAATTCGTCCATCTCTGGTATGTATTCAGTTTCTATCTGAATTTCAGCTGTGGTAATAAGGTGCTAACAAGAGGGTTTAGTGTGCTTAAACTTATATTCTGAGCTAAAACTAATTCTCTTACCTACTTCTGAGTCTGAGCGAAGATCGAATGAAGAGAGGAGACCCCGTTCATTAAGGACTAATTCCTGTCCATCTGGGCAGTAAGTCACCCCCGAGCGCAATAAAGCCGCGATTATCTGGAAATTCCGACGATAGCTCACTCATATCGCCTCCCGTTCCTCAGCCCAGGTTGGAACGGCCATTTAACCCCTCCCCCCTCCTAGTTAGGCAGGCTATTGTGTTTTCTCTCCATTTTTTCTTATTCCCCAGCGTAGGTGTGGGGGGGCCCGGGTGTGGCAGGGTCATTAATTTTCCGAAGGGTGGCACCCCTGTTTACCACTGTCTCACTCGGAGATAACATCGCTCAGCTCCGGCGGGAATGTATATGAATGAACCTTTGTCTACCTGTTCTTTTCGAATCAGTCAACGAGCAGAGTTAAATTACGAAAATATTTTACCTGGCTCCCGATCTAACTCGTTACCATTTGAATTTCAACCAGATTTAGATATTCCTCCTAATTTTAATATAAGAATAAGTATGAATAAATCTATAATACGAAGCAAACTTATCATGAACGGATCTATATTAAAAAAACAACAACAGTAGAAAATATATTATTTTTTTTCTCTTTAAGTATATATCCGCACCTGTCATGTAGTGTTGCCCAAATGCGAAACCGAGACGAGTCTTGGTCTTGCAAACTCATTCTTGGTCTAGGTCTCGGTCTTGCGCAAGACTCTCGAAACAGTCTTGCAGTTATCTATTAGCTTATTGGTATAGAGATATCACTGTAATTTTTTAGATATGAGAGACCTAAGTCTGAATTAAAAATTAGAAGAGTTAAATGCTAAACTATATTGGTTACACCAATTCTCTACATATAGTAACTAAAATTGTCAAGTATTAGTAACTATTTTGCCTCAATTTTTGTTCAAAAAATCGATTTTTTTTACCAGTCTTGGTCTTGCAACAGATAGGCGGTGTTGGTCTTGGTATTGCATAGTTTTTGGGCTACACTACTGTCATGGTATTGACAATCAGCAGTTAGTTTGTGATAAAATAAGGATTGGCATTATAAGCATGAGTTTTATTTATTTGAGATTTTTATAACGACATATATATATATAAAATATATATATACTTCGTACAAATCATAACAGAAATTTTGGAAAACACTCGTAAAGTCAGCATTTAAAAGAATAATATCGATATTTATTCTGATTGATTGATACTAAAATTTGAGTCCCGAGGAAGAAAAGTTTTCCAAATAAAGAAATTAAAAATAAAAGCAAAAATAAATTAAAATCCCTACAAAGAAAGTCACCCCTCTGGTGAACACAATACATGAGAAAAATTGAGTAAATTATTTTATTTTTTATAATAGTTATTTTTTTCTTACATGGTGTTTACACTGAATATGTTAATAAGATTTACAAGTTTCTATCCTGATCAATTCAGTCTTGATTTTTTAATTTTTTTTTTTTAGCAGTTTTATTGAATTTTATCTAATTCTTATTAACTAATAAGTCTTTTTCATAATAAATGTTAATAATTGGAGAGAAGTTGTTGGGTGTTCAGTGAAAATATAAAATAGAAAAAATCACCTAACCTATCAGTATATTTATCAGACATTTTTAGATCATGACAAGTTACTGAAAAGAGATCCAATTTTATTCGATTAGGAATGGTAGAAGTATTGCTCAACTAAGAAGTCTCCAAAAAGGGTTTCGAAAACCGAAGACGGTACCCAGCCCATCGTCACCGAATAAAGAACAGGATGAGAGTAATTTCCTTTGATTTATACCCCTTCCCTCCCTCTAAGGTAATTTTCTGGACGCCTTGGCGCCCTAATTATCTTTATTAATTGAGAGCTATTAGGCGATTAAAGCGTTTTGTTAGGGGCGTTCCGCTCCGGGTGGCTGCCAAGGGAGCGTGGTAGCCTTTCCCAGGCGGCGGACAATGGCAGAATCACGCTACGTCCGCGGCTCGAACCTGGGCAGTTTGCGCAAGAGTCCCATCCTTCTGGCTGTAATTGGAGTGAGGGAGCCTCCAGTGGATCAACATCCGTTCTAATGCAAGGTGCGTGATCCTTGCCTGGTTCTTGAGGAATCTTATCGGGCCACCGCCGTTATCTGATCCACCCGCGATCGACAAGCGAGCCCATCTATCTGCCTAGATCTGTATACATTAGACTCCAACTTGAAGAAAACCATCCAATTAACAAACAGTACAACAGCAGATGTTCAAATACAATTAAGGAAATAACATCGTTCCAAAACAAGGTACGTATTACCTTGTGAGTGCAAAATTTGAGATAACGGAGAACATTTATTAAATCTTCTAAACAAATTGATCATTTTGATGGCTTAATACAAAGGTATAAAAACTTTTAAGCCGAAGCCATCTATCTATATTTACATCTTATCTATAGCTATCTGTTTCCAACGAAGTCCGAAGGCCAAAGGTCCAGAATTTAATTTTGAGTAGGCTTGGTTTTTTTCTTTATTGTTTTGTTAAATTTATTTAGTTTCTGAATTAAGTGGTACTCGAAGACCCGTAATATATATATTTATATATATATCTGTTTATAAAAATAATAAATAACGGTTTTAGAGATAAAAGTTGTTTCTTAACACATACATATATTGACTAACTGAAATACATACGTTATAATTTAAAATCAGTACGTAATTTGATTGTTTATTATTTATTTGTTTTTTTAAAAATTGTTTATTTATATCAGAATAATTACAGAAACAAATATATATATATATATATATATATATATATATATATATATATATATATATATATATATATTTTCCATTTTTTGGGGGAGAGAGGGGAGAGAGTGGCTGTGAATACGGCTTAGGCCCAAGCGATAGCCAACATTATATCAACATACTCATATGATTTGCGAAAAGCGTTTTTCTTCATTTGAAAAAAAAAACAATATTATTTTATTTGAGGACTAATCAGAAATTTGAACCAGGACTTAACCTGAATCTTCTTCATATTCACTATAATTTCACGAGGGTTCACTATAATTTATAGATTTATTTTTTCATATTATTTTCTATATACAAATATGGTACGGTTTTGTATGTTTATGACCACTGACTAATGCGATTTTTATTTATTTCATTGACTATTCACTTTTTAATAATTTTTTTTCGAATGAGTCAATTGAGTTAATAAAAGGAGATAACATTTTTTTTTTCATTAAAATCAATACAAAGCAATTTTAAATAAGACTTACTCTCTCCATTAACAATTTTTTGAACAGTGTCTCCCTCCATTAACAATGAAAACAGTCTCAAAGACACTTAAAATATTGCGCAAAATAAATCTACAGATTGAGTACTTCAATTCGATTTTACGTAGTTGTTAATTGCTGAAATGCGGTGTTTAATATTCAAGAGTATTATTCACCGAGTGACATTAGCGACGCAAGTCCTTGTGGATTTTAATGTCTCCCCTCCTCCCCCCTCCCTGCTGTGTTGTAGAAATGCCTGCTCAGCTAGTGTACTGATCTAATGCTATCCTTCCAGGTATTTCTGAGTCATTCTAAATAAAGTCTCTGTAATGAGTTGGAATAGCCGTAAATATTCTGAGTGATACTTGTTTGTTTTTAGATTTTTTAGAGACCTGTTAAAGTCGCCTACAGTCATAGTAGTATTTATTAGTAACAGCTCGTTAGTATTACACTGTTTGATACAGATCTACATAGTATTTTATGTATCATGTTGAGCGCCAAGTAAACGATATTTACAGATTGTTTCATGGTGAAGTGTCCTAAAAATATGTATTAAAGTTCTCAATACAAGAAAAAGTTCCTGTAAAGATATGCCTACGTTCTATGTCCGTCAACAAATAAGATAGTATATAGACATGACTTTGTTTCGCTAACTGTACATAAAATATTGACAATTTAAGCAATAATACTGCTCGGAATTAGCACTGGGAACTCTCAATAACATTTATCAGTCTGTTCGACGCCTACACGTACAATACTTAGCAATGTGGCTTACATTTACACATATGATAAATATTTCGATTTAACAACAGCATTGGATTTTTTTTGTTCTAGGTGACATTATACAAAAAGTCTATGTAAGTGTTAATAATAATAAACAATCATAACAATGAAAACCTTTGTGTTTCCTAAACACTGGGATGCCTTTTCAAGAAACTTGGGTAAATTCAGGTCTATCAGCGTTGCTTATCGCCCGGTGAGCAAATTAAACTGGGTCTATTTGACAAATTTTATAGGTACGATAATGATTTACCGTAACCATACATTGACTAACTGATCTTTATCAATAAATTACATTCAAATAAAGCAATGAAAGATTTAGAAATGTTTATTAGGATCAAGTATATTCAATTGCTAATTGAAAATATGAGACTTTAATACAAAATGTGAACTTTTTTACAATTCAGGACTAAGTGACTGTTAATAAGCTGTGAGAAGAAATTTAAATCAGTCTTTTCGGGAAATTAAATGGGCTTAAATTAAAGCTAGCATCTTCTTTTAAAAAAATTATTTTTTCAGTTTTTTCTTGAATGCGGGATAAATAATCTTAAACTTATATATTTTGTATGTATAAAAAGTTTATAAGTTTGCTTAAGATTATTTATTAAATAGCTAGGAAGTTAATTTTTAAAAAAAGCTTCTTTCCCGCTACATCCATCAGTAAATTTATTTCGCCATTCTCTTAAATACAATAAATTATATGGAGTACTACGCTCATTGAATTTAATATTATAGCGAAAAGGCTATCTCCAGGAAATAAAGCAGTTTTTACGATTAGGTGGCGGATAGTGTTGCCCAAAATCGGTCTTGGTCTTGCACTTTGCAAGACCAAGATCAAGGTCGCCTAGCTGTTGCAAGACCAAGATCAAGGTCGCCTAACTGTTGCAAGACCAAGCCAGGACTGGTAAAAAAAGTCAATTTTTCAAATAAAAACGAAAGCAAAATAGTTACTAATACTTGACAATTTTAGTTACTATATGTAAATAATTGGTGTAACCAATATACTTTTGCGTTTTACTCCTCTAATTTTTCATTCGGGCTTAGTTAAGTCTCTCGTATCTAAAAAATTACAGTAATACCTCTATAGTAGTAAGCTAATAAGTAGCTGCAAGACCCTTGCCCAAGACCATGACCTAGACTGAGTTTGCAAGACCAAGACTCGTCCTGGTCACGCATTTGGGCAACACTAGTGGCGGAACACAATTCGAGTCACAATTATCGCACCGGGAACCAATTCGAGTCCATCCAGTGTTAACAGACATACCTTTATAAGGAATTTTTTTGAGATCCTTAATTCATAATTTCAATAAGGACACTTAATCCCGGAGCATATATCGATTATCTCTTTCCCTCTACCTAGGATTTCTCCATGACGTGAACGAAGGGACGAAGAGAGAAGACAAACAGACGACGCAGGTAGAGAAGCTAGTTAGATGGGATTAGCCTTGCAGAGGAGAACCCTGGCCTGATTAGGTTCCTCAAAGGGTCCGGTCCTAACCATTATCCTTTTTCAGGAAATTCGCACTATCCTTCTTTCTTCTCCAAGACGATTGTTCCAACGGTCTAAAATCGAAGGAAGGATCTTTAGCGGGACCTTTTGCGGGGTTTCTCTCATTACCTGGCCAAGCCCCTGGGAGCTGTGACACAAAAGAGATAATGTTTCACTCCTCCTTTCTACAAGAACGTGTTAAAAAAATCTTAAAATATCCACGATAAAATAAAAAATTATTAATAATATTTTCAAGCATCCTAGCATGGCGACTAAGAATTAATTAATGAACCATTAAATTAGAACATCGGTCACTATTGATTATGCGCATCAAGTTACAACCTCAACTCTTATATTTTAGTCCAAAAATAAGAGTTAATTAGACATTACGAACCGATTATTGAATGTCATGTATGAACTGAAAAAGTAAAAGAATACCTGTGTATCGAGGAAGTAATAATTCAAATAGAATATCCATCTTAACGTTTAGACAAGGATTCTCCAAACCTTTTGACCCTTTGAAACTCTACCAAGTCCGTGGCTTCCGATGAAAACAAGACATTTGTTGTTCTATGAATGATACTTCAACTGTGAAATGAGTTATCTAAGAGAAAAGACTCATGCAATAAACGTTGTAGTAACCTTCTGATTGAGAGCTTTACTAAACTTCAAATTTTGAAAATAATATTTAAAATTTTACCATGCAAAGAAACATGTGGGTCCGTAATTAGGAGAGCTCTGGTTTAGACCAACGCTTCAGAATGTCCATACACAGGTATTCTTCCGCTTATCAGTTCATCAGTGGCCAATATTAACTCGGATCATATTTTCTAATTAACTGTCAATATTAGACTAAAATATAAGAGTTAACTATGCAACTTCAGGTAAATAATGAATAGTGACCGATGATCGAAATTAACGACAAATTAATTAATTCCTATATTATTTTAATTATTTAAATGGATAGCTAACTTTTGTTTCCTAAAATTACTAAGCGGTTCATTATATTAGAGAAAAAAAAAGGAACACATATAATTATTGAGATATTAAGATATTAAAAAAAAAAACACAAATCGACTTTTGGCCATAAGGACATGATGGTGAATATTTAATTTTCTCGTCAAATTACAATGGTCTGGAGGTCAATTAATTGTCCATATTAAGAAACCTCAAACCATTTAGAAAATTATCCGTGACAACAACAGGCCTTGGCGACGTAATTAAATCCCGTAATTATTTTCCTAACGTAATTAACGTCAGCAAAATAATCATCCCGCCTGCTGGTGATCAACACTTCTTAGTTGAAAATTAATTATCTTTTAATGTCGTTATTTACATGCTCAGGCAATGGGCGTCGTCACTTCTTAAGAGTTACTTTAAGGAGAGAAGCGAACTTAAGAATGTTGATTTAGTAAGTAAATTTAGATCAATTCTTTTCTTAACCAAATTAATCTAAAAATAATTAAAAAACAAACAATTAAAGGACACAATATTTTGTTTTTATTTTCAAATTAATTAATTCGGGTAAGCGCACCAGTGATGGACATAGCTAAGGAATTTTTTCTCTTTTTTTGGCTTATACCACCGTAATTATTATAGTTATAAACTTTTTCCGTCGGACATTTAGAATCTCCAGGGTCTCCTTTT